ATGCAGGCCCCAGAGTAGAAACTCTGTGCAACAAAGCGAATACACCTGGGAGCACTGACACACGAGTTACAAAACATGTAATCACTAAAACTAAACTAAGAGCACCTGCAATATCCAATTAGTCTAACTGAAGACGGTTATAAAATGAGCTGTGATCAGCAGAACTTGCTCACTTTGGGTTCTTTTTGTTGTGTCTATCTACATGTCTGCATCATGGCTCCACATAAGAAAGAATTGTTAGAGGAATTCAAAAATCTGCTTGTTAGACTTCACATAGATGCAGGAGGATCAGTGACTGCTTAAGGATCAATGGAAGCATAGTTGCAGCAGTAATCAGGAGCCATAGTGCCACCAATCAGAGCTGCAGGAGACATCCTCCGAAAATAATGTAATGAACAAAAGACTTCTTTCACAGTTTTGCTCCTGAAAACAGGCGAGCAAATGCTTCAGACTTGACATGGTGGTTATCATTGGAAATGAGAGTTTCTGTAACAGGAGGGGAAAGGTCATTGTGCAACATGAACCTCTATAATCCCTACAGTCAGATGAGACCAAGATTTATTTGTTCATTTCAGATAGAGTCCATAGAGTGGCTTGAATCTGGCAAAGACTACTGCAGTGGATGTATAGTCCCGACAGTGAAGCATGGAGGTGGAAGCATGATGATATGGGGCTGCATGAGTGCAAAAGTATATATAGATGGCTCCATGAATGCCTGTGGATACACCAAAATACTGACTGACAGCATGATTCCCAGTCTGCAGGAGCTTTGAAGTAGACAAACATTCCAGTACAATAACAATCCAAAGCACAAAATCACACAGAAGAAAAAAAAAAAAACGAACAATGACCTGAGCAAGAAAGTAGCCAGACTTGAATCCAGTCAAACATCTTTGAGGTATTTTAAATAAAAAGGCAGAGCAACACAGCCTCTATTTCAAAAAGCAGCTGAAAAAATGTCCTTCAAGAAAGAAAATGAATGTTTGTTTCCTTACAAGTTTCATATCAAAGTGGTAATTTCATACCATCATAGAGTGTTTTTACATGAATTGCAATTATTTTTTATCTTGTCTTCTCAAAAGGAGAACATGAATATTTGCACAATTTCACTGGATTGGATGCAAAATCACTGGGAAGTCACACATGTCAACCTAGTGGTGACAGCACAGGAAAAATCAGAGGATACATCCATCCATAATCTATGCACCGCTTAATCCTCACTAGGATCACGGGGGGCTGGAGTCTATCCCAGCTGACTCAGGGTGAAGGCAGGGGACACCCTGGACAGGTCACCAGTCTATCACAGGGCTACACTTAGAGACAGACAACCAAGCACACTCACATTCACACCTACGGACAATTTAGAATCACCAATTGACCTCAACATGCTTTTGGACTGTGTGGGAGGAAGCCGGAGAACCCGGAGAGAACCCACACTGCACAGGGAGAACATGCAAACTCCACACAGAAGGATCCCGGTTGTCCAAACCTGGACACGAACCGGCAACCTTCTTGCTGCGAGGCAACAGTGCTAACCACCGAGCCACCTTGCAGCCAAAACCAGAGGACCTCCACATCGAAATGTTATGCTAATCAACTAGTAGAGATGAAGATATTTCACTTTTAAAGGGAAAATTCTGACGCCAGGTGAAAAGTCTGGGAATCATAAAGCCATTAGGATTTGTCCTCTAGCAGCCATGAACATATGTTCCACATTTGATAGCAAACAATCCACTTCTTGTCAAGATAGTTTAGTCTGGATCAACTTGCGCCATCACTACCCAGCAACAAATATCATATTTGTCTATTAAATCTCCATCCATGTGAGCACAGTACACACAAAATGAAAGCATGCAGTCGTCACTCGCCTCTCTGTATGGAGATCTGTGCTGAAGGGGGTGAGGCGGCAGGTGTGAGAGTAATGAGAAGGCCACTTTTATGAATGACACCGTCGATGTTGGGGGAAAGATGCTGAGGCTATGTGAGGCACGACTGATTAATCTCTCAGTGGAATCCAGTGCGGATGGGTCCAGCTCCTGCAGCCTTCCTTTAAGCCGGCTACACTTGATTAGAATTCCTGTTTGATGCAGTAATTAATCAATAAGTCCATCAAAGCGGTAAAACTGAGCCGTGCGTCCTTATTATGAGTATTCTATACGTGACATTGAATGCTGTATCTTGTGGGCAAGTATGCATTACTGAGAAGCTCAGACGTGTCATGGTCACTCTATCTACACCGTAAGGCTTCCGTTTCCTCTGATGCCATCCAATTTAATATCTTACACAAACTGTATTCACATCTTCCAGAGAGAATTCAGAGCGAAGGACGTATTTTCAAAGTCTAAAGAGTTCTATTTGAAGCCGAGTTCTTAAGAAGCGCTCAGGAAACGTTTCTGTCGAGGTAGAACCAGACCTGCTGATCTCGTAGCCAATCCCCAAAGCTGTCAGGAGCAGAGCAGAAATTTATGGTAAACCTCCCACTTCCAAAACAGAAACTGATAAGAAGGCAGAAGTTTCTTTAATCCCAGTCGAAAGCGCTTTGAAATGAGACCTATCTGACTGTGGTTTGATATGAAAATCCAACAGTGGGATTTTCATTTTGTCATAAGTGGCGATATATTGTGGAGCTTTTAAGGAAACTGTAACAAACGCTTATCGCGATAAGAGCTTTGATTTAAAAAAGACTCCTTCAATATAACAATATTATTCCGATATCAGCTCATTTGTGTGAAAGAGATCTTCAGTCCACTGTTACCAGAGAGAATTAGTCCGACTGCATGAGAACATGGTCTTTGGCTATATTTAAGAAGCATTTTGATTTATGGTTTTGTTATTATTTCTGGCTGCTCTTTTGTCTAAACCACCAAGGATCATTATTTTAACTGAGCTGACAGCCTAAAATTCCTCCCAGCTACACACAGAGACATACAACAGTCTAGTGTTCTGAGACATGACATAAATTTGCATGCAAACTGAAGTCATGCTCTTGTAATAGGCCTTCAATTTCCTCTACAGACTACAAACAGAACAGCATGTACTTCATGTCGCTCTGTAGTTATCTGCTGAGTCACAGACGCCACAGAAAACACAATCATTTCTTTTCTGCTGCCATTTGAATACTTCATCAGCAGTAATAAAAAACATCCCGACTGTATGACGGTTGAATATAAACCGGAGAACATTCTTTGAGAACAGATGACGAGCACCAGTTTAGAACAGTTCAGTTTTAGTGAGAGAAACTTTAACCATTTCTTCCATAAACAAGATCATAATAAAAAGAAATCAGGCCAAACTGATGGATTTTGCTGATATTTTCTTATTTTAGGTGCTAATTTGGGGTGGTGGTAACTGATGTTTGTATTCGTATAACCCAGATCTAAAAATAATCGGACCTTAGGGCAACTTCAAATTGATAATATACTAAGAAATATGACACAGTGTGTGAAACTGGAGACGGAATTAGTTTATTTATTGAAATAAACTAATATTAAAGATACAGTGACATTGGGAACTGGGTCATGATTACATATTATGTAAGTGAATACCTTGCAAGCACTGAAATCGTAGACTGTTTTTAAATTATTTTTGATACTGGGAGGGCATATTTGATTCTGTTTTGCTTTCATAGCTGTAGGAATTTCTGTCTTGGTCTTTTTTTCTCATCTTGTGAGCAATAAATCTCATCAAGAGATAAAACAAGGGGGTGTAATGGTGGTGGCATGTATGTTTAATGGAAACACAGTAAATGTATAAGTGACTGAGAATTTCACGTTAGATCATTTAACTGGCATTAACATTCATCTTCACACTAATTTAATCTTCCTCTCTGACTGAGACTCATTATAATACATATTATAGTCCATATTATGCAAATGCTCGCCTTAATAAGGAGCTGAGTTTCTTATATTCTTAAGGAGTATGAACGTTTCCATCTCACATCACATCAGCACCTGCCCCTCTGCTGCTCCAAACATCTGTGCACGTCCTCCCCCTCTGAACGTGTGGGCATGCGCAATGGCGGGGAACAGGTGCCAGTCTTTTGTCATTAACACCGATTTCATTTTTTTTTTTTTTTTAAGGATTAAAAACACAACGACGGTGAGGTGTGTTGTCATGGATACCGCGGTTGTGTTTACCTGTCACGACTCCCGCACAGGTGCAAAAACAGCCCGAGGCCGGTGAGGCTGGAGCCGTGAAAAGCGCATGTGGCTGCTGGGGGGGACGCACGAACCCGTGGCGTGCGTAACCGCCGTGAGGTTTGCCAACAAGGGGATTTAAATGTCATTTATACGGGTAACACGAGTTCAGGAGCTCCTACGGAGACCTGAAGTAACACATGACTGAAATAGTAAAGGATAGTGGTGATCAAATAGGTGAGCAGCAGCAGCAGCCACCTGGCGAGAGGTGACGGTGGGGTACATCCATGAGACACGGCGCTGATATAACCCACCAACCGTGAACATTTTTTTTTGAAATACAAATTTTAAAAAAACAGGTGGAATCTCTTACCTGCTCTGTCGCCTTTAGATCCTCGATGTGCAGCCCTCAGGAATCAGTTCTTGTGGCAGGTCGGATCTTCTATGCGGTCACTCTCACCACAGCGAAGCCACCAGCAGCAGCAGCAGCAGCAGCAGCAACCCACACAAACTGCTATCTTTACCGAGACCTCACCTAAAACGGCTCTCGTGTTGTCACGAATAGCTCCATTGATTCAAAGCCAAACTGGCTGCTGTGTGGTGCTGCGCGCTGATCCTGTTTCCCCCCCAAAGGATGTCCAAGAAAGGCTCCGAGATGGCAAATGTGTGTTTTGGTGCGCTGCCCCCCCTGTGTGAAGTTGAAGCCTGTCCGCTGCCGTCGATATGAGCCCGAGCAGGAGCAGGAATACACGAGCACCAACTTGCAAAAAAAAAAAAAAAAGCGTTTTTCTTGGTTGTATAGTGCCATCTAGTGGTGAAGGGTGTCGGTGCAGCTCGTTAGAACAGATGACTGAACGCCAGAAGTGTGTCTATGTAATACTTTAATCCCACTCACATCTTTATTGTAAAGTTGATTCTTGATACAAAGTATTTACATTTTTTTTATGGCCAAAGAACAAAGACGTGTACGGAGAGAAGACAAACAGAGAGAGAAAGAGAAATTGCATGCACGTGAAGTAATTAAATCTACAGAGTCACAAAGTCCAGTGCAGGTCGTTGGAGGTGAGTCGGGGATGGATGATGTCGTTTACCAGGAATCAACGTAGTCCGAGCTGCAAGAAAAGAAAAAGATAGTTTGATTACGTGACATTTACGCTGTTGCTGCATTATGAGGCGGATAAAAGCTGTCATGAGATCAGAAGATAAAGATGCTGATCAATCAGGTGTAGATGTTAGTATTTAGAACATGCACAGATCAGTTCATTATGCAAACACAACTAAAATAGCCTCAGCTGAGAGGTTTTTCCAGTTATGCAGGTGGATTTCACATTTATTGATGCTGTTAAACATGCATGTCAGTCCACCCAGAAAAAAAAAGATGTAGTTTTCATAGAGCATGAGCATTGTGCATGTGCCACTCTGCTCATAGTGTTCATACTGTAATATTCCTAGAATGCACTTTACTGCTGCTTTTAGATGCTAACCTGCATGTTGTTGTCTTACTGAATGTGCACAAATGATGTGGTTTAATCAGTTCTAACCTAATTCGTCCACGTCCTGATGAAAATCATCAGAGAACCGTTATTTCCGAACAAAACAATAAATGCAACAGTTAAGTTGCCTGGTGCATAAACATTCACCACCATTCAGGAAATGAAGCATTTAATGCTCAAACTCCCAGCGTGACAACTCGCAAAACTCTCCCGACTTAATGCGCCCCTCTCCTAAACAACACCTACGCCTGTGTAATCAATACTCAGTCTGACAATAAAAAGCTCAAGAGCGGCAACACAAACAGCAATCCAATCCTGCAGTAGGAATTACAGCAGTTTGACGGCATGCTGAAGCCACGCTGGCAGGGGCTGAGAATTACTTGTCATTCGAGGTGCTCTCACTAAAGTGGATTTCTTCCTTTATTAGTAATGACTAGACAATTATGTGTCATACTTTCAGTCACAGCGAGGAGCACGAGTGTGGTCCCACTGTGGTGATTATTGAATATTGGATATTGGTGAGTGAACCAGCGTTGCACAGTTTATACTTTTATTCAGTAATTTCAGGGAACTGTCTTCATTTTAGCCACTAAATAATGTCAGTTGTCTTCTTTGGTGTAGCACTACTGGTAGACTATCAGCCTTTTTGAAGCACATGAAGAAGAAACCATGTTTTTTCTTACCGTGGTTCAGTGTCTTGGCTGGAATCTCCCCCGAACAGCAGCCACGCCACCGCCTGCTCCGGGGTTGATCTCTTCCCGTACCTGCAGAAAAACCAACATGTAACAAGAGCAGCTGAATGTCAGTTCTCATTCATCTTGTGTCAGCACTTCACCAGGTGCTCTGGTGTGACCCCCGTCGGCCTGGCTGTGAGTTTTATCTGTTCTTTCGAGAATCATCAAGCTGTGAACGAGGCAGGTCTTTATCAGCAACGCTTCACAATCTCTGCAGTCCAAATCAGCCGTGCAATTATCTGAGAGAAAAAAAGGGGGGATTTTAAAGTTCACTGCCCAGCGTCCAGCAAGGCAAACACACCAATCTCCTCCATCTTTAGGAGTCTCTTTACTAAAAATCAATGTGTGGCCACTGAGGAGTAAACCTGGCTTTGTTTGTGCAGCACCCAGTCCTTTGAACGAAATGACAGATCCAACCTGTTTAATTACAGAGGAAGGATTAGACTTGGCTTCCATCACAGCAAAAAAAAAAACCAGAGATGTAGGAATCTACCAACATCTAAGTTTTATTCTGTCTGATTTTCTCCTAACAGGAAACAGAACGTAGTGATTAGGATGTCTGGTGTTCCGGTACAAAATTTAGAGTAACAAGGGAGACGTTCTATCTGGTCTGAATCCAGGCTCATGTCCTCCGCCTCATTATTTCCTCTTCTAACGAGCAGGGCAGTACATTGTAGCTTGAACACAGTGACCCAGGAGTGCTGCTTGGCTTGTCGAGCAAGACCTGGACTCTGAAAAGTTTTGATTTAGAGGTGTTAAACGAGTCTTGTGTGAGTGAAGTCATGCCACAACAGGAGGGCTCGATGCCCCACATGGCCCCGCTTGTAAACTTGTTCTTGAGCCAGAAACTTCAATCCGTCACTTCAAGGGAGGTGGACTGAGAGTCTGACCCAACCGGAGCAGGAAAACACACCAAACCACTGCCAGTTTGTCAGTTTTTCCAGGTAATATGTGAGCTGACTGAACCTGACATGGCTCTGAGGATGCTGCTGGAGACTTTACTAGCATCTATAATGGCTGGACACCTTGGAATTCTTTCTATTTTCTGGATTTTTTTTTTTTTCTTTTAAAGAATAAAATAACTTCAGTTCAAACTGAGTCCAGTGAACCCGCCTGACTCACCTCTGTCTGGTGATGAGGTTGACATAATGCCTGACAGCTGCGTGGTACTTGGCCCAGTCCTCCGGTGAGGCGTTGCTCCCGGGGCTCTCCGGTTTGGGAGGGTAGGCGTCCGCGAAAGCGCTCAGACACACCAGCAGGCAGACGACGAGCGCTGCCAGCGTCATCCACGATCTCAGCATGCTGACCATCTGAGGAGAGACGACACATGTCATGATTTGAGCTCCCTCTGTGGGATAAACTTTTGTTGGAGCCAAAAAATATCATTTTTGTGATGCCCAGGGTTCTGTTTCACATGTATACATTCATGCGTAAAATGCGTCCAAAGTCTTCTCAATAAATTAACAAACAGGAAAAAAAACATTTCTGCAGTGAAGTTAGAAATTCAAGAAGCAAAAAAAGTACGAAGTAACTTACTGTTTGACTTGTGTGCTGCTGTTGTCACCTCGGTGATGCCCCTGTCTTGCTTCTCTGCTCTCTGATCACAGGATTATATAGAGGTGGATGGATACCTGATGCGCGCTGAGCAACAGTTAGACACACCCCCCGCTTTGACAGCAGCATGCAAAGAGGTAATTGAGTCTGCACAAAAAAAAAAAAAAAGCTGGCAGACACTCTTAAGCCTTAACGTCACTGTATTTGGTTAGGATGTTTTACTATTTGCTGAATTCTTACGTTTATTTGGACGGAAATACGTATGAAAAGCTACTCTTCGGTGCGTAATTTCAATAAAATTGATTTTACTTTGGAGAACTTTTATGTATTGTTGAATCATAAAAACAAATACAAACCTGCTGGATTTTCTTATGTCATTTCAGCACCTCTCACAGCTCCACAGGAAGGAGCTCTGCTGCCATTAAAATGAATTAGGGTGAATTTCTCGCAGAGACTCTTGTAATCAGTGTCGCCCAATTGTTTTATTGGCTCCCATCTATTCTGTGCATGGGTAGTTAATAAAGGAACACATCAATCTTTAGGTAATACAGAGCAGATTAAATAAGAACAATAATAAAGCCTGTTTGGACATCCATTAAAACTATATTTCAAAACACAGCTGTGTTTTAATTTACCAGCTGAAAAAAATGGAGCAGATTTTATGAAGAATTATAAAATGAAAATGTATTAATTAAGTCATGTAGCCTAACATGTCTGATCATTAGTCCCTGTACCTTTGGCCCTCCATCACTCCGGCATGCATTATTCAAACAGCTGAAAGCGTTTATTATGGTCTGAACACAGAGGTCAGAGGCTACACTGGTCAGAGATCAATACTGCTATTGTGCTTCACACACACTCACATGGAAATGGCAGCTGCTTGCTTCAGGGAAAGTCGCTTTCACTGCACTGATTCTCTAATGATTGAATTAAGTGGTTCAGTGAGGTGTTGGTGGATCAAACATTACATATATTAATCTTGATGTTTTTGCAGCTTCATATCACCACAGAGACATGGTGGGTGGATGTGGACGGACGCGGGGATGAGACACTGTGTACATAAATACCTTTCAGGTATGAAGTGCTGAGGCTCGGTGTAATCTAACTGCTCGTATTTATGACCGCCGCTGCAGCTCCTGTTTATCTTGGATCTTCACGGTCTGGTGTTCAGTTCACGACGCCTGAAGGCACACTGCTTATCCAGCAGGGCAGCTGCTGTCTCTTTACAGTGTTTGTGTGTGTGTGTGGATGTTGGGGATGTGTGGTTGAGTTTATATCATAACTAGAACTGCAATAAAGCTTTTTTATTTTCTGTTTATTTCTGTTGTACTTCTCATACCTAATGATTGTGTGACATTTCATTCATTCATCATGTAAAGTTCATTCGCTGCTTCCACTGTAGGATCAGCCGGCTCATGACTACTGTGTGTGAGGTTTCATACTGTGTGGTCTAGATGCAGCTTTAGAAGCTCACGCTGACCTGCTATGGACGCAATAGCAGGAGACAATGGGACCTCCTTGTTAATTTTACCAACTGTTCATAAGTGCTGAGAAAATTCACATGTACAGTGTATATTTATGTTAATATTATCCGCAGCCTCTTTCATTCATTCACTGGGCGTAATGGGGGAGCAGTATGTGGCCGTGGAAACTCATGTGAAGCATGTGCTTACAGTATTCATTCACTGTCTGCATCGTGTGTGATTGTTTGACACAGACAAAGACCAAAAAAAAAGGTTTTTGTTGTTAATCATGAAGCCACAATCACAAAGGCTTCTGAGTTTTTCTGTTTTCAAAAGACAGATCGCCTTCATTTTGGGGGAGAAATCCACCCTATTAGTTGTGGACAAGTTGTTGGTGGCTGTAGAGGATGATAAAGTGTGATATTATCAGAATCTATATACAGTGTGAGACCAGCCCTGTTTACATATATTACATCTGAGTTTGGGCCTTTTAGCTGCAATTCTAACCTGTTGCTGTTCATGAAATTGCAGCCAAAACCTGTGCAAAAAAAAAAAAAGAAACTGTATGTTTTTTCATTCTTAACATTCTGAAATGTTCCCCTATTAAAGATTCCAACATGGAAAAGCTTATAACAGAGAATGATGAGGCCAGAATGCATGTATGGGAACTCATCTTGTAGGTTTTGATTAGCTTTTGGCTAAAACACAATCTAAACATCCATCCATCCATTATCTATACACCGCTTAATCCTCACTAGGGTCATGGGGGGCTGGAGTCTATCCCAGCTGACTCCGGGTGAAGGCAGGAGACACCCTGGACAGATCACCAGTCTATCACAGGGCTACACATAGAGACAGACAACCAAGCACACTCACATTCACACCTATAGACAATTTAGAATCACCAATTAACCGCAACATGTTTTTGGACTGTGTGGGAGGAAGCCGGAGAACCTGGAGAGAACCCACACTGCACGGGGAGAACATGCAAACTCCACGTAGAAAGATTCCAGTGAACCGCGAACCGGCAACCTTCTTGGTGCGAGGCAACAGTGCTAACCAACTGCGCCACCCTGCAGCCCCAATCTAAACATCATCAATCCAAACATGCTTTAAAAAGTTAGGGTTTTTTTGTCATATTTCACAGAGAACAACTGGGACATGCTTCATGCCACAACAATGGAAACCGCTACAAACCGTCTACATCTCGTCAGACACAAAGAAAGCTTCTTCTAAAATAAACTGAATGGTTGGATGGTGGAGCATCTAACTGATCCAACCATGTGTAGCATGTTCATACTGACAAAAGTTTAAAACATTTATGTCTTTATACGCAACTCTGAGCCACTTTGAACCAGTTTAAACGGGTCCCCTGCTGCCTGGTGGCCGTTAAGAGGTCTTAAATAATAAATATGTCTGAAAAACTACAGAGGAGTCGACATGACATTAACTTGGTGATATTTTTTCATCATCACATCCTTCATTTTGATGTATTTTGTTGCTACTTTTATTGATAGTAGCTACGAGTCATCATGGAGAGAAGCATGACAGAGGCGTGCAGTGAAGGTTTCAAATCCAACTCAGACAACAGAAGTAGCATCTACATGGTATAAATCTGAGATCCTCCATGGAAACTCCAACATCTCACTGTCAAGAGAATTCTTTCATGATATTTTGAAGATATGGGGAAAAGCAAAAAAAAAAAACATTGCACAGCCCAGAGAAAACCCTCCTGGCTTGCTGCATGAATCAAAGAAGCTGTCAAGGTGGCGCAGAGCATAGGATCACGCTATACATACTGTATGTGCTGTCCTGCTGCGCTCCCAGGGGAAGTCATGACAACTCCTCTCATATTCTGTTTATGGAGTCGTAAAAAACAATGGTTTTCCTTTGTCTGTCCCTAAGCCCTTGTCAAAAACACAACTTGATTTCGGCATAAATCCCAGCTGACAGGCTCAGTGGAGCTGTGGACAATAAACAAGCAATTAAAGAGTATATGACCGCACCGCAGAGGCTGTGAGTGGATTGTGGTATTACGCATTGATTACGTGGTCCATTTCTGAGCAATCATTGTGCCATAACTCAAACCTATATTGAGGGACAATTAGTGCGTCGCAGTTGTTCCGCCCCGCTGATGACCACGCTGATGCAAAACGGCTAAATCTCAATAGGAAGCTTTTAACAGCGTAATAAGTGAGGAGGAGGCGATTAGCTCAAAGTGATCAAATGATGACACAATCGTCTCACTGATATTTGCTGGCTAACGGTGGCTGCCCCGAACATTTCAGTTAATTCTACTCCAGTAATCAAACCTCGCCGCAGCCCGTAAAAGTCAATGGCAAGAAACAACAATATGCACAAGACAAACTCATTAGCCTGCTGCAGCGTTTGTGGGCAAACACTGGGAATGTAGCAGCCAGCAGATAAGAGAAAGGGCAGACAGTTTAAGTTTTCACAGTTCAATAAACCCTAGCTAATGCACTCCTGAAGAGCAGTTAGGAGAGAGGTGTTTGAGTTACCATAAAGGCCAAGATAATGGGGCCGGTGGGAGGCGGCTGATTTTCAAAACTTTTCCTCTCATCTCGTTCAGTTTCACCAACTTTCTCCGGGCGCCGCTGATGACTTTGTTAAGCAAGACACAGACCATTTACATAAGTTCTTTAGCAGACGGCGTTGGAAATCTACTTACTGTCGGCATCTACCTGTGCTCCTCAAAAACTCTAAAAGCTTTTCTCCTCTTCACTTTATTTAGTGAAAACCACCTCCTTTTCCATTTGCATCATGCGTTGCTGGTCTAGTACAAATAGGGAGATTAGGCACACATACATGCACATAAGTCCACTCTGGTGTAAGAGCAATCTCCCAGGAGAATGTCTGACTCCTTCCTGCCATCACAGACAGAAAGGGGGAAATGATTATGCAATTTTATTTAGCCTTATCTCCAGAGTCGGGGAGCTACTAATATGAACAGAGTGCTTTTTAGGCGGCCAGGTCTGTTTGCACTGCTCAGAGGACAGAATGGGGGCTTGATTGTTGCCCACTACCACAGCAGGATAAGTCATGAGTATATAAATGTCTCCAACGTGACCTGTAGATGATGAGCAACTAGACACGGAGCCTTTTCTGATGGTGCCATAAACACAAACAATGAGAGTCATATCCATCATTTGTTTTCCGAAACAGTGACGCCTCATGCGATTCCCCCTCTTTCCTCCCCCAGAGGACCGAGGCTACTCTGCCAGCAGGCAACATCCATCGTTTTTGGAAAAGCAGAGCTGACCAATTACAGCAATATCCCACCAACGAGTGTGTTTATGAGCGAGCTGGCAGTGGCGGCCTCGGGGGAAACTCATGTGGATGGATGACGACACGGGGGTTAGAGGGTTCAGGAAAGGGTTTAATCCGGTGAGCGTTCCCAAACAAACGAAGGAGGCCACTGTGATTTTTAGGCGTCAAAATGAGCCCTGTAACATCTGAAAAGCTCTGTAACAGCGAGAGGCAGTAGGTGTTGTGCTCCTTCCATATTCCAACCTTGAGAATACGCAGGGATGATTAGATATGTCATAAATGGACAGCGTCACACTACAAACGTCATACCAGGTGTGAGTCCCTCTTTCCCCATCACGCTACAAAACAATATGGCGTCATACTCGATGTGACTCACTATCTCCGTGCCTCACAGCAGCTTGTAAACAGCAGATATCGCCCACGAGATATTGGGTCTCTCAGGGTTTGACTCTGGATTTCTTCCCGGTGGATACCAATTACACAAAACATGGGAGAGTTCAAATGAAGAATGGACTTCACGGTTGAGCAGACACATACAAATGCCCACCACAGTCCATTCTTATAGTAATTACAGCAAATGAGAAGCATGTAACTAGTTGGTCATCAATAACTAATGAAGCCAAATCTCATTGTTGCCCCACGACTGCACATGTTGCCGTCTCCTCT